CAGCAGCACTTGCCAGGACGTTCTTGAGAATTTTGCATGGGACGGAAATGGCACCATTTCGCGGAGGCGGTGTGATGTTTTTGAGGTCCGTTGGAGCAGGGCCCAGGTAGTGGTATCCGGCGGCACGCGAGCGTGCTTTGGATTCGGAGAGGTAGGAGGCATCGCTCTCTATGTACAGATGCATACCACTGGCATAGAAGCGAACCTTGGCGTCAGGGTTGGAAGCGGCATAATTCAAAAACTGGGTGACTGCTTTCATAGTGTTGACCGTTGGTTGTGCTTGTTGGGCAGCGATGGTGCCAAGGGCCGGTAGCATGGAGAGATTGATTGCTCTGCCATAATAGAGGAAGGTTCCAACAACCTCAGAGATGGTCGTTTGGTCCTTGACGTCTAGAAATGGGGAATCGTCGGTGGTAGCAAATTGCTGGCAAGATCCGTAGACCGGAGCAATCCAGGCGTGAGGAGAGGATTCATGGCGTGTGAGAGCTGGGTGAGTGAAGCGTTGTAGGGCTCGTTCGACATAACCAGGCATGGATATATCAACGGTTCCATTTTCATAGTCCCAATCGATCTGCATGCCGATGTAGCGGGACCCGGTCCAGTCAATCGATGTTTTGTATTTTCCTTGGAGGACGGTAATGAGTCGTTCAATGTTGGACTTGGCAGTGTAGCGAACGCCAAAGTCGTCGACAACCAGGGAGAACATGAGGTCGGACGTGGTGTCTTTCCAAAGGCCCGCGGTTTGTTCACATGGGATGAATCCGTGGGGTTTGAGGTATTGGCGGAGATCACCGTTGGCAAGTTTGCCAGCTTGGGGAAGCCCATACATGCCTTTCTTGACTTTGCAGTAAACAAAACCTTTGTGGATCTTGTCGTGGAGGTGGTATAGGTCAATTATCTTTTTGGATAGTACGCTGACAGGGATGCGGACATATTCTGGTTCTGGGAGATCTGTCTCAAGGTAGAAGTCCTTGAGATCAATGGTGGCGAAGCGGGCGCCTGGGGTGCTGATGGTGCTGTTGAGAAGGATCTTGATGGTTTGGATGTCGGCAGTTTTGGTGGTCTTGTTACCGAGGTAGACGATCTTGTCGCCGCCCAATGTGTATCGGACGCGGTGGACTTGGGCCTTTTCAGGGCGATCGGCACATACAATGCGAACATATGTGACAATTTTGTCTTTGGGGACGTCACGGCGGTGAATGAATTCCAGGGTTTGTGTTCCTGTAGGCATGTGGGATTTTGGTCTAAGTCCAGTGCACATGCGTCCCATTTCTTCATCGTTGGCGTCGCTCCATTCGTGGCCGGCTGACGACTTGAGGAGCTCAGGGTATTCGGCTACTTTGCCTGTGTCAGGATTGATGGCTGTGCCATGGAGGCAGTAGTGGGGGTCAGTTAGAGTGTTGAAGCTACTGGCATTGGCTTGGACGGATTTCTTGTAGGTTGGTTTGGTGGTACGAGTGCTGCGGCGTTTGGGTGCTAGGACCAGGGGTTTGGAACGTGGTGCTTTTTGTTGCATGTTCTGTTTGGTCTGGTTGGTGAGTCGTCGTGCTTTTCGTTTGGTGGCCCTGACTGCGGGGCTTGTGAGGGCACCGTATGTTGGAGTTGGCCAACTTTCTTTGGGAAATAGTCGAGGCGTGGTGGCAATAGCAGGGGCGTTGGTTGGTGGGGTCCACTGGACAGTTTTGGGTGTTGGAGGTTCAATGTCTCTTAACGTGACAACGTTGTGCTCCTGACTCTCATCGTGGAGAGAGCGTACTAGTGCATTGATGTAGCTACGGTTGGGCATGATAGACGGTGATTGATATTGCTATTGGGGTGTATTTACGGGGGTCTGAAGCAGCTGTGAGTAGATGATAGATGATTGATCTTGGGCTTGAGATTGGCGACGACCGTTGGCCTTCGAT